AGAGAGAGAGAGAGAGAGAGAGAGAGAGAGAGAGAGAGAGAGAGAGAGAGGTTTTGGGGTAATTTTTAGACCCTCAGATGCTGGGTGAGAAGTAAGGTCCCTTGGGTATTGTGGTGTTTTCTTTTACCCATCTGGTGGGTTTTCCTGGGCTGATAGATGTGTCTGTGGCCTCATGGGCTTATTTCAGGAAGGACTTCCTGGTCCTCATCCCCGAGGGAGTGCAGGTGACGGTGCTCTGGGGCCTGTCAGTTTATCAGGAAGGTGTGGGTGAGCTGACCAAGGAGATCCTGGGAGTCTGGCCGTGGGCATGGTTTCAGCTGGAACTCAAGAGATGTATCAGGACTATGATCCACTGTTTTGGTGACCAGGTGACTTTTCATTTCCGCACCACAAAATGTGACGAGGAGCGCACGGTGATAGATGACAGCAAGCAGGTGGGGCATCCCATGCACATCATCATCGGGAACATGTTCAAGCTGGAGGTCTGGGAAACGCTGCTGACGTCCATGCGGATTAATGAGGTGGCCGAGTTCTGGTGCGACACCATCGTAAGTGGCTCAATCAGATTGTTCCTGGGATCTGCCCACCCTCACGTTTTGCAGAGCTGTGGTGTTTCAGGAAAGTTGGGGGTAAAAACAAAGCTCTGTGATGCGAGTCCCTCAAATTTATCTCTGCAGTCCTGAATAGGAGGAGTCCACTTGAAGGAACAGGCCCTAATGCGACAACCAGGAGCATGGCTAGCAGACAGGATGTGGGGTCAGGTGACCATGCCACGTCGGAGTGAGCCCTTCCCTTCATAGCCTCCCCTTTCTGTGAAGAATTGTAATGTCTTAGAAGCTGTTGGCCATTGGTCTCTGCCCTCTTCCCCAGTCCCATCAATGTGACATTTTCCCTGTATTTACGGCATGTCATCAGGTTATCCTCATAAATTAGGTTCCTTGTTTTGTGGCCTAGGTAGAAATGGCAAGACTCACAGACCATTAACAATATTTCTTATGGAAACTTTGCAACATATATGAAAGTTGATAAAACAAAAAAGTACCCATCACTCCATACCCCAGCCTTCCTCACCCCATGTAGTTTAAGCAAATACAGACACCATATCACTTCATTTGTAAACACTGACATTTGTATCTCTGAAATATGTGGATGCTTAAAACACCTAACTACAATGTCATCATTAAATTTTTAAAAAACTCAAACAATTCATATATATATATATATATATATATATATATATATATATATAGTCACTGCTAGAATTTCTCTGGTTGTTTCATTTATTCTTTTTTTTCTTGTATTTTAGGGAAGGGTCTGCAGAGTGTTCAGGGTCTCACTGCTAGATTGGACTTGTAGTGATCCTCCTTTTTACAGCTTCCCAAGAGCTTGGATTACAGGCGCACACACCATGCCCAGTCTCAATCACCATCTCAGCATGCTCAGGGGGCAGATCCCACCTGGCAGGCCTGGGAATTGAACGCTTGGCCCCTGTGCCTGCTTGTAGTGCTTTAATCTGCTGAGCTATTTGGCTGGCCCTCCTCATTTATTCTTTAAAAATGATTGAAGTTAGTTTGTTCAAAGTCCACATACAGTGCATGGTTGATATTACGTTTCTCATTTTATCAATGAGCTTTCTCCTCTTTTAGATATGGATTTTTTTTAAAGGAACTGGGTCAGTTGTCTTGTAGGAGTCTTGAATTATGTTTTATCTGTGACTTTGCCAGGAATTGTCTAGCATGTTCCCATTTGCTTTTTTATAAATTGGAAGTTTGGCCTAGAAGGCTTGCTAAAACTCAGGTCTCTCTCTCTCTCTCTCTCTCTCTCTCTCTCTCTCTCTGTCTCTTTGCAACAGTATGTCACAGTGGTACTGTGTGTTGCATTGGGAGGCATGTCATACCTGTCTCTTACTGTGATGTTAAGATTGATTGGTGGAAGGGCTGGGGAGGTGGCTCAATAGAATAAGCACTTGCCTGGCAAGCTCAAGGACCTGAGTTCAATCCCCAGTTCTGAAAAAAAAAAAAAAAAGATTGATTGGTGGCTTGGCTGTTGACAACCTGATCCATCCACTCACTCCAAGTCTCCCTCAGTTTTCACTGCTGACAATGGATCCACAGACTCATTTCTTTATCTGGGGCAAACAATCTTTTGAAAGGAGAGAGAGAGAGAGAGAGAGAGAGAGAGAGAGAGAGAGAGAGAGAGAGAGAGAGACCTGTGTTAGAATTCTGTCCTGTCTTTTATTAGCTGGGTGAATTGGGATTGTCTTTCCCTCTTCTGCCACTGTATTTCTTCATCTATAAATCAACAAAAGCCCAATATAAAGGTTTTCTTGATGGTTATATGAGATGACATCTATGAGGAAAGATCACAACATATGTAGGGAGGGTTGAAAAGTAGAAACTGCTATTCTGAGTTAAAAGGAATTTAAAGATTAACTCTTTCATCTCATTAATGAGAACATTGATGGGTTAGAGAAAGTAACTTGTCCTGGGTTGAACATCTAAGGGAGAGAAACTGAGGGAGATCCTGGTCCTTAAACCTACCTGCCCAGGACATGCTTCTTGCTAGTGTCTACTGTAGTAAAGTCAGACTGTAATTCTTCCTTCTACTCTGGGCAACCTCATACAATGCCTTTTTCTCATTTTATGTCACCCAACACACAATAGTTAAGCACGTTTTCTTTGTAGCAGTCTATATGCTATTATTTATTTGGACTTTTTGGTCATTTCTTAAGATACTGGGAGCTTAATCCAAGGGGGAGTATGTGCTTATCATTGAGCTACATCCCTAGTCTTCTTTTAAAATGTATTTGGCACAGGGTCTCACTACATAGCTTGGACTCATAGTGATCCTCCTGTTTCAGCCTCCTCAATGCTGGGATTACAGGCATACACTACCACACCTGGTCTTGGTGGTTGGCTCAGCCTGCCCAGAGGTGGGGCCAGTGTACATCCATATTTGATCCATCCATCTATCCATCTATTCTTCTACCTACCCAGGGTTCCAGGGATCAAACCCTGGTCTCTGTGCTTGCCTAAGCAGGCAGTTAGTCCCCTGAGCTATCTTGCTGGCCCTTCTCTAGTCCTTTTCAATTTCTTTCTTTTTTATTTTTGAGATAAGGTTTTGCTGAATTGCCTAGGCTGGTCTTGAATTTGCAGCCCTCTGCCTCAGCTTCTGGAATAGCTAGGGTTACAGCATGCACCACCACACTGGGCACCCTAATATTTTTTATTTTTAAAAAAGTGTTTTTAACCAAATTATGATTTCAGAAGGCTGACTCTTTTAAAATTTCAGTTATTTTTAAAACTGGATATATTGAATTTGCTTACAATAATGAGTTCTTCTCCTTTTCAGACCTGTTTGCATCTGTAACCAAGTTTTCTCCTCACAAGAGCCCCCTTTTGTAGGGCATGTATTTACTAACACAGAAAAGCTGCATATGTGGAAGGCAGTTGGTACACTCTTGATTAGTTGATTGATTTGTTATTTGCAAAGCTACAGGCTACTGTCGCTCCCACCACTCGGGAATGGCTCTTCATTTCCTGTAGTGCCTGTTGGTTTGATCAGGTTGGTAGTTATTTCTCATAGGCTGGCAATTTTTATACCATGCTGACTGTTGATTTTCCAAATAGCCTCTCTCATCTTTTCCATAGCTGTAGTGATAACACATACACACACATAGAAACACACACACACACACACACACACACACACACACACAGATACACCCCTCCTAGAGTCATTTATCCACCTCTACGTCCATATTTGATCAATCCATTTATCCATCCATTCTTCTACCTACCCAGGCTTCAATTTATCTATCTTTTCCTCAAACTAGTCATTCATAATCCAACTTCTACCACTCCACATTTCTCTCTCCCTCTCTCTTCATCCTTCTCTCCCTATCTCCCTCCATCCATTAATGACCTTCATGCAGCACCTGATTTGGCCTGTTCTGTACAATAGAAATGAAATGGCAAAGTTCCCAGCCCTCAATTAACTTCAATTCTGACAGAGAGCTAAGCACCTAGACCATTACAATGTAGAGAAGCCAATGCCCTAACATAAAGAAAAGTCACAACTGACTGCTTTAGGGTCTTGTGGGGAGGGATTCTTTAAGAAGATCCCACCGAGCTGAGTCTTGAGAGATAAATAGGGATTCACCTGGTCTAGAAGTAGGGAGAAAGGTAGTGTCCAGATCAGGAAGTGTGAAAAGGCTTGATGTGTTACATTTAGTTGGCCCACTTTCTTCTATAAGGCATCTCTTCATCCAAGAATTGCCAGGCTAAGCCATTAGCAGGGCAACTGTCTGTTGACAGGGGCTGAGGAAGGTCTGCCTTTCTCCAGCAGTCACGGAGCAGGGTCTGCACCTGGCGTTACCTTGATGTTTAGGTCTCTGTAGGAGCGGGGCTTTTCTCCCTCCCTCCTTCTCCCTAGGCCAGACAGGCAGAACCATTGAACGGTTCTGGGAATTTCTGCCCCAAAATGCTTTTCTTCCTCCACCCGTAGAAATCATGCTAGCCTTGATGTGGGATATTTTGTGGACACCTTGTCTTTTGAGGTCAGAGTTTGCAAATTCAGATTCCACAAGGATCAGAAACCTTTCTTGCCCCTTCTAAGGGGGCAGCCATCTGCTCCCTCTGGACAGTTGCAACCTGCAAGGGGCAGGGCCCAGAGTGGCAGGACAGTCTGTTCCAGAGACAAGCCAGAATTCGGTATTAGCGCATGGACCTGATCTCTCTCAATGTTTAAACATTGCCAACCAATTAAAAAACAGACAGGAAACAGTCTATTCAACAAAGGAAGAAGCAAAGCTGATCTTTGAGTTAGAGATGGTCTGTCACACTCCAGTCCATTGCCTCCATTACAGGCTTTTGGAGAGAACAAGACTCTGGCCTGGAAGGCCCAGAACGGGACTGTGATGCTGGACTCCTCCTACCCCAGCTTGTCTCAGGGCTTCAGGCTGGCCTTACAGAGCCCTGTGCCTGACTATGGCTGCCCATGTGGCCTGGCGAGAGGGGCATCACGGGCAGTATAGTACAGAGACTGACACCTTCCTTCCAGCCCTCAGGATTGTCCCTAGAGATGCTGATTCTGCTCTGCCTCTCAATTTTATCTTCCATCCCAGGATTTCTCCTGGCTTCTGGTGGCATCCCTCAGCTCACAGGTGCCAACTAGGGTTCTTGAAACTGTCAGGATGGCAGGTGTTGGCCGGAATGAGGGCTCTGTGTGAGTCTGTGCCCACGCAGCTGCCTGGCCTGGGCCCCCAGCTGCCATTCTACTTGTGGGGCTGCTGAGCTAGGGCCAGAAGCGGCCCTCCCCATGGCAGGCTCCCCCAAGCCCCGCCTCCCCGTAGTCCAGCCTTGACTCAGATGTTCTCAGCCACCATCTGGTTATCCCTCTCACAGAGCAGCAGAGGGCATCTGGGCTAATCCAGGCAGGGAAGGGTGGGAAGGTGACCTTCACCCCATGCTCCTGCCCCCCCCTTCCCAGCACTGTGCAGCGCTGGCTGTTCATATGAGCTAGAGCTGGGCCAGCTCACAGCCCTGTCTAGGATGTGGGTTCTCAGATGCCAGGGTGGGGAAGCTGAGGCCCAGCAAGGATCAAGTTTTGCTGAGGCCCCACAGCTGATTTTCCTAGCTCCTTACCCAAAGGGTGGCAATCCCAGCTCCCTGGGCTGGATGAGGCTACAGTGAGCCACACCTATGTCCGTGCCACTCCCTTGAGTCCCTGTGACAACCTTGTCTCTAACACCAGATAAGGCTACCAAGAGAAGAGGGGATAAAGGAGAACGATGACCTGGGCTCATTGCTATTTAGCAGGGCCCCAAGGCTGCTAAAAGGGCCCTCTCAGAACTGGGATTCTCCTCCCTTACTGCTGCCCACCACCCTGCCTGTGAATCACAGGTGGTGGAGCTCAGGGTCTCCTGGGCATTGGGCAGGGGCCAGCAGGAGGCAGTGTGATGCTCAGAGCCTGGCCTCTGCAGTGCACTTTGAATCTCAGCTTTCTCACTGGATAGTTATGTGGCCTTAATCAGTTGCTTAACTTCTCTGGGTCTTCAACTCTGAACCATGGAGGTATTAGTGCCTCCCACTCTGGTTGCTGTAAGGACTGAAGGAGCTGGGAAGTATGCAGGGTTTTGCCTGGTGCACAGGTGTCTTTGCTTGCTCCTGGTGAGCGTAGTAAGGTTCTGCAGTGGAGGATGCAGAGTCTGGGCCTTAGTGACCCAGCCAGCCTGGAACAGGCCACGGAAGTCATCCCCCCACCCTTCCCACAGCACACAGGCGTCTACCCCATTTTGTCCCGGAGTCTGCGCCAGGTGGCTGAGGGCAAGGACCCCACTGACTGGCACGTGCACACCTGTGGGTTGGCCAACATGTTCGCCTACCACACGCTGGGCTACGAGGACCTGGATGAGCTGCAGAAAGAGCCGCAGCCCCTGATCTTTGTGATTGAGCTGTTGCAGGTGAGAACGGGGACCAGGAGGGTGAGTCTGTGCTAGTGTAAAGGAGGATGGGCCTGGCCCTACTTGCTTCTGGACATGTCCAGTTTACAGAGAACAAGACAACATTGAAGAGCTGGCTGTGGTGGTGCAGGCCTGTAATCCCAGCCTTCTGGGAGACTGAGGCAGGAGAACTGCAAGTTTGAGACCTGCCTGGAGAACTTAGCAAGACCCTACTTCAAAATTAAAATAAATAAATAAGTAAATAAACAAAAAGGGATGGGAATGTAGCTCAACACAAACACTCTGGGTTCAATTTCCAGTACTGGTGAAGAAAAACAATCTAAGAATCATAGGAGAATTGAAATCTGGGGGGAAAAAAAAGGACTCATTTTTTTAAAGGAAAAATTCTAATGGGAACCAGTATCTTGTTCATTTTAGATAGTTTTTATCGTTTGCAATACATGGAGACAGTGTATTAAAAATGTGATTCATTTTTATGTAGGAAGCATTTTCCCTTGATTGGCTATCTACCTCCTCTTCCTTCCTTCCTTCCTTCCTTCCTTCCTTTCTTTCTTTCTTTCTTTCTTTCTTTCTTTCTTTCTTTCTTTCTTTCTTTCTTTCTTTTTTATTTTAGGGAAGGGTCTATAGGCTGTTCAGGATCTCACTACTAGATTGTACTTGTAGTGATCCTCCTGTTTACAGCCTCCCAAGAACTGGGATTACAGGTGCGCCACCACACCCAGTCTCAATTGCCGGCTCTGTGTGCCCCGGGGGCGGGGCTGGCACAGCAAGCCTGGCAATGGAACCCCCGGCTCCCGCATCTGCTTGCCCCTGGCCCCTGCGACTGCTTGCAGGTGCTTTAATCTGCTGAGCTATTTGGCTAGCCCTCCATTTTTGTTTTCAAGTGAGGTATTGTAATCTCCTCCTTGATCCTTGTGGTTTACGAATTCAGGCTTGGACCTGGAACAGCAGGACAGACTACATGGCCCTGCCCACAGTCTCTCCCCACCCAGATCGAGAGGCTGGCAGCCCTTGGAGTGGGGTGGCAGGGGGCCAGACCCAGAGTCAAGGCCAGGACAGAACTCATCCTGTGGCCAGAGCTGAGACTCAGTCCCAGGACTACACAGAGAAATCAAAATAAAATAGAGAATGTATCAAACAAGTTGTGTTACAGACCTGCTTGAACGGTTGGGTGGTCCATGCACGGCACTAGGGGATCCCCTCCAAGGGGCTCATGACATTGCATGTTTATATTTTTATAATGATAAATTGCCAGCAGGTGGCAATAATGAGTCTTGTTCTACGGAAATAAGTATTAGTGATGCTTTTATGACTACTGGAACTTTTTCCTAATTTGCAGGAAGCGCTGGTTTAGGGCAGGGCCCTAGCCATGTAGCCTCCTTTCCCTGCTCCTCTGTGCTTTCTCTGCTGCTCTGTGTTTGATCACCAGACGAGCCTGGTAGGGTGGAAAGGCAGATCTGACCTCAGCCAGCCCCGTGGGTTCCACCCTCCTGGGTCCTTGCTGGGGTGTGGCTCTGTGGGTCTGAGTCACTGATCAGGGGCTCCTGGGTCAGGTGGAGGCCCCCAGTGAGTACCAGCGGGAGACGTGGAACCTGAATAATGAGGAGAAGATGCAGGCTGTGCCCATCCTCCACGGAGAAGGCAACCGCCTCTTCAAGCTGGGCCGCTATGACGACGCCTCCTCCAAGTACCAGGAAGCCATTGTCTGCCTGCGGAACCTGCAGACCAAGGTGGGGGCATCCCTGGGCCTCTGGGGTGCAGGGGCAGGATGGGCAGTGGCCTGAGCTCATGGCTCAGTCTCTGCTCCTGGCAGGAGAAACCCTGGGAGGTGCAGTGGCTGAAGCTGGAGAAGATGATCAACACCCTGATCCTCAACTACTGCCAGTGCCTGCTGAAGAAGGAAGAGTACTATGAGGTGCTGGAACACACCACTGACATCCTCCGCCACCACCCAGGTGCGTGGGGTGGGCATCTGTGGGGGGGGTCTGCCCAGGGTCGCAGGTTCATCTTTCAAGAAGCCCTGGACTTCTCGTCCCACTCTGGAGTTCCCACCCTGCGGGTCCCTCCCGGGGGTGGTGATGCATGGGGATGGGGCAGGCGCTGGTACTTACTGTGGGAGGCAGTCTTTAGAACCGTGTATTTGGATACGTCTAGCAGGAGAGCTCACCAAGCTTGTGATTGTGCAGAGCAATCATCAGGCTTTTTAAGGAAGGTGGGAATCAAGCCAGAGACAAAGTTAAGTCCATGAGGGTAGGGTGGAACAGGGAGAGGGCGCTGTTGGTGGAAAGGGTGTTGGACTAATGTTGACAATAGCATCAGACACTTAGGCTCCAGGTTCTGAGTGCCTGCCTTTATTATTTCGCTTAATCCTCAAAATCCTCCCAGGCACCTTAGGGGAAGTTGCGGGGCTCCAAGATTATGCAATCTGAGGCACTCCTAGAGGAAAGGAAATGCACAATTTGAGCACAGCACCCAAGTAGTTACAGGAGCTTGCAAGGGTCCCTGCCAAAGAAGGGAGGGGTTATTGTTATTACGGTATAGTCAAGGAAGTTGAGGCAGAGGAGGCTTAGAGAGCCTAGAGATGGTGGGGGTCAGGATGGGGTTTAGTGAGCTGGTGAGGCCCAGCCTTGGGGGCCAGGCTGGCAGGTGCAGCGCAGCCCTCCCCGCAGGCATCGTGAAGGCTTACTACGTGCGCGCCCGGGCACACGCGGAGGTGTGGAACGAGGCTGAGGCCAAGGCAGACCTGGAGAAAGTGCTGGAGCTGGAGCCGTCCATGCGCAAGGCGGTGCTGCGGGAGCTGCGGCTGCTGGAGAACCGAATGGAAGAGAAGCGGGAGGAGGAGCGGCTGCGCTGCCGGAGCATGCTGGGTTAGGGGCTGCGCAGCGCCCCGGGCCCTCCCTGTCCACACACGGTTGGCTGCCTGCCGGGCACGCGGGGGGTGTGCACACAGGCTGGTTGTTTCTGATTCAGTTGAGAGGATTTCGGTGGCACTCTTTAAAATTTAATTTTCGAGGGCTGGAGCTACAGCTCGGTGGTAGATTGCGTGCTTAGCAAGCACAAGTTCCTCGGTTTCACCCCATCGCGTCCTCCCGTCAGTTGAAATCAAAATCATATACACCTATGATTTAAAAAAAAAACCCAAATAAATAAAAAGCAAAAGAGCACAGAAGAGATTATGAGTAACAGTGAAGTTTTCCTCCATCCCCTTCCCTCTCATCAAGACCTAGTGGTTTTAGTAGACTTTCTATTCTGGTAGATTTTCCCTCTGTCACCAAAAATGTATTTGCATTACTGCATCTGACTTTTCCCTGCATCACTTTACCTTTTGTCCAAACATGAAGATTGCATGCTTTGATAAGTCCTTCCCTATTTTTTCCCCACTTTGTGTAGTTGTATTTTTGGGTTCTTTCTTTTTTAAAAACTTTATACACAACAGCTAAAACTGCCCTAATGTTATTGACTGTAGTCTACCAGCTGAATCCTTCTGTGTAGAATGGGGTTAGCTGCGAAGGATGGGGGTACCCCTCCTCCCACCCTCTCTCCCGCTCCTCCACCTGCCCCACCCCTGGGAGTCCTGTGGACTTTGCCTTTCCACCCCCCTGGGTGTTAACATCTACCTTGTGCTCTGTAACCACAATGAAGTCTTCTGTGCTGGGCCACGGGCTGATTCTAAAATTTGAAAATCAATAAACAGCATTTACATGATTATGGCCTTGTAAGTCCTTCTCCCTGCAGAGCCAGCAGGGCTTTGATTATATTTCTTCTCCTGTGGTTCCAATTTCATGACCCTTGGGCCACTGGGATGGGACATTCTTGGCATCAGGAGAAGCAGTGTATACTCCCACATCGAGTGGCTTTATTATTATTATTTTTTTCTTTTCCTCTCCCTTTCTGTTTCCCTGCTAGACATTTCAAGTTGAAGCCCCCCTCCCCCTAGTCTTGGAGACAAGGGGGTTGACTCAGGCTTGGTGTCCAGGGCTATTGTAAAGAAATCAGGTGGGAGGAGGAGGTTTCAGGGGTGGTCAGAGGAAGGGGACATTATGAGCTATGGGAGCAGCCAGGGAGGAGGATCCCAGGACTGGAGAGCCCCCTGAGCCCTGGAAGGGGGTAAATGAAGAAGGAAAATGGGGGGAGAGGGAGGGGAGCACTGCTTGCTGGCTGCTGGCTGCACTGCCCTGGGAGAGCAGCCCAACGGTGTCTGGGTGCTCAAAGCAGATGAGGGGACATTAGGTGCAGGCCAGGAATGATGGTCTGCAGACTTCTCAGCTTTCCTCATCCATTTTTGTGTAACAGTTCCTACCACTGTCCTTTCCCTGGGGAGTGTGGCTCTCACACCATCTGTCACTGGATAGCCCACAGATTCTTCAGTAAGACTGATGTTCAAATGTACTTGGGACCCTTCAAAGTCCTGTCCGACCCAAGTTGCTCCGGCATCTCCCCCTTCTATGCCTCTGGACATTTGCAGGCACTCAAAGAAAGAGAGCTAGGGGCTAGGACACCTGTAGAGTGTGGTTGGGAGGTACCTTTGTCCCACAGTCTCCCCTTGTCCTATTGTTACCTTCATGTGATGGCTGAGAATGGGACCACAGAACCACTTTGCAGAAACCACCGCATCTCACACCCCATATTCTAGTGCAGAGGAGGTGGGATGCAGGTGTTGTGAGAAGCAGGTAGCTGCCTGGCCTTCTTCTGTTCCTGGAAAACTAGGGCAGAGGGAGGTCCTAGCTGGCAAGGCCAACGCATGAGACTTCTTTCCCATGCATATAGCTGAAAGATGTTTTTGAGAGGCCAACAAGAGACAGTAGAGAACAGGTAGACTCAGGTCTGGGGAGCAGGAGCTAGGGCTCTGGATGTGTAGCTTTTCCACCAAGAAGACTTATCTTCCACAAAGGCCACCGTGCCAAGCAGGCTGGTGACAGTGAAAGAGGTGCTTAAAACCCTGGAGTGAGATTGACAGTGATTAGGGCCTTAGAGGCAACCCATTGGAGTCCCTTTTAACAGGGACCAGACAGGGAAACTGAGGGTTAGAGAGGTGCAGTAACTTGCTGGATCCCATTACAAACCCAAGGTAGAACCAGGGTTGTTAGGGACTGAGTGGATGCGAAACGTTTTACTATTCTGTGGGCCATGCTGCATGACTAGAAGCCCATGGTCCGAGGTGGTGTGACCCTGCCTAATGCAAAAGGATATGGAAGGCTTCCTCGCTTCCTTGCTGTGCAGAGAAGGCTCAGATCAGCCACACTCTTTAAGCAAGATAACATCTGCTGAAGGTAGCGTAGACTGCAGGCGCCTAAGAATAACTTGGAGAATGACTGGCTTTCCATTAACTTTTCCCTGTCTGCTACAAGTGAAAGTCTGCCACCTCTTCTCCTATGGTCGTCGCTCGCTAATAAAGTGGACTGACTGCTGAGATGGATGTGCCTGTCTTCTAGAGACAGGTTACCTTCTGGGCCTTCCTTGAATGTTGTGTCTTTTGTCTTTTTAAATTCCTTGTGGTTCCCCTACAGATATCAGTTTGATCAGCCCATGGCATAGGGGAGAATTCGAGTTTCCAAGGTCTCTGGACTGGCACTTTATTTATTTTTAAAATTTTATTTATTTATTTAGTTGGTACAGGGTTTCACTATGCAGGTTGGACTCACAGTGATCCTCCTGTCTCAGCCTCCTCAGTGCTGGGATTACAGGCATGTGCCAGTATACTCCATTTTGGGGCCAACATAGTATAGTGCACTTGGGGTTCTGGGGCCAGCACAGCATGCAGTACCAGGGATTGAACTTGGGTCCTTGTGCTTGCCAGGCAGTGCCTTGGGCTGGGGCTTTATGTCCTGCGTTGTGTTGCCTCCCTCACCGGCTGACTAGTCCATGCATGGGCAGGATGCATTTCTAGAGGGAGGAGGAAGGAGGAAATGTGCGAGTTTAATTAGGGAGCAACTTGGAACCTAGGCTTTGTTTGAGAGTGAGAGAGGCCAGTATGAAAGAGACAGGTGAGTTTTGCAGACCCCTCCATCCAGGTCTCTCTGTGGGAATCAGTGCTGCTAACCAGCGCTTGTGCTTCCACGTGTAATTCAAGGACCTCTCTCCTACCTGGAGTTAACAAGGACCTGAGACTGTGGTCCCTGAGACCGCTGCTCCCTGCAGATGTTAGTTTCCTGTGGCTACAGGAGCAAATCACCCCAAACCTAATGTCTCAAAACAGCATGGATTTTCCTTCACCCCTCTGGAGGTCAGAAGTCCTCAGTGATTGACAAGCGCACTCTCTCCAGCCTCACCGGGGGAGGATCTGTTTCCTTTCCCTTTCCAGCTCCTAGGGTCCACCTGAATTCCTTGGCTCCTGGCCCTCACCTCTATCTTCAAAAACAGCAGGGCAGCATCCTCCAGTCTCTCTGTGTCCTCCAGCTTCCATTATCATGTCACCCCTGTGTGCTTCTGACCCTCCTGCCCTGCACTCCTTACAGGGAGCCTTGAGGCTATTTTGTGTCCACCTGCATAGTCCAGCACGTATCTCCCAACTGAAGACCTGATCATGCCTTCCAAGTCCCTCTGCTGTGAGGCCAACTGCATCAGTGGATTGAGCCAGGGCTGAGTTCACAGCTGAATGGGCTGCGAGGAGGAGACTAGCAGGGGTGTGACACATACCTGTTCTCTCAGGCTGCTTTCCTCTCACTGTTTCCTGGCTGCCATGAAGTAAGGGGCTTGCCTGCACCCCCCTTCCATTATGATGTTTCTGCCTCACCTCTGACCTAGAAACAGTGCTGCCACTTATGCAGGGACTGAAACCTTTGAAATGGAGCCCAAAATAAATCTTTCCTTCAAGGTGATTTATGTGCAGTATTTTGTCACAGTGACAGGAAGTTCTGGGCACAAGGATGTGGGCACATTGGAGGCACTGCGCAGCCTACCAGGGCTGAGTGGTCTTTATTTGTTGCCACTCCATTGGCTGCCCTGCTCTGTGCCCTGGGGGCCGAGCATGCAGCCCTCCATGGGAACTCAGCTGACAGGAGGGCCCTGCAGGAGGAGAGCACTATGGGTATTTTTCTTTCTAGTCCCGCCTTCCTGAACTGTAGTTTGCATCCTTGACTTTCAGTCACAATTGTGATTGGGCCACAGCCCCCACTGGTTCTCAGAGCAACTTCCTCTGCCCCACCCCTACTCAGGCTTCAGTGTGGCAACATCATCAGCCCTCCCTCCCCCCACGTCTCATGCTCTGCGTTCCTTGACATTTCTCTCAACTCCTGCACCTTCATTCTGTTCTCACAGTGCTCTTTTGAGCAGGACACTTGTCTCTAGCCAAGACCCTTCCTTACCAGTGATCATGTGTCCCTCCAGGATGTGGGAGGAGAGTAGGGCAGAGAGGCTGAGAACATGCCCAGGGTCACCCAGCTAGCCAGGGGCAGATCTCACAGAGGAGGACTAGAGTCAACGTTTTCTTGTGGCACGCGCTGTCCAAAGTAAGAGTTAATGTTCTCACTTTGCAGAACCTGTAGCAGTGGAAAGGGCTTGGTGGATGTCAGAGGCTTGAACACAGCACAGGAGTCACATGGCCAAGGCCCCTCCCAGTCTCCCAACCTGTGTTACATTTAATGAAGCCAATAGTTCATCTCTCAGCAGCACATGCTATGCAGGGGCTTGGCCAGAAACTCAGCAGATTAGCCAAGCAGCTGAGCAATGCCCCCTCTCTGAAGGCTTTCCCCACCTCCAGGTAGGCACCATGGGCTCCACTTGACAAGGGAGCCTATATCTTCCTTTGTCACCTATCTATAGGTGGCTGAGCCCGGAACAGATGCACATGGGTTGGATCCAGAGCTCGGGGTCCACTTGTCAGAACATCCAACGCTCAACAAGCTTCAAGGGCGGAGATAGCCCAAACTAAGTGGATCAGAGCTT